TTCGTCTATGTCTTTCAGTGACTGAGGGTCACCCAAACCTGGTTTGCGGAAAGTCACGTCCAAATGTTTTGTATATAGATCCAGCACAAGTACTGAACACTGATGGCATGCCGTAACAAGCTGCTAACTCCTTCCTTTTCCTCCCTATTAGATTGTGAAAATCAGTATGGAACGGTCTAACAGTGCGTTGTGGCGTCGCGCCAACTCCACCTCCGATGCCTCAAACTTATCCCCCCCCCCTTCCAAGCGCGCGAGTTTAATTTCTCCTCCTGTGATTAAGCAAATGATTTCCCCTCGAAACTGCCTCACTTTTATACCAACACAATCAGACCTCTTAATTCTCTTCATTCCAATGAGCCTCAACTTGTGGAGGCACCATCCACTGTACATATATGTGCGGACTACAATTTGGCACTGTCCGGCCGCAAACAAAATGGAGACTTTTGCAGCTTTTGGACGTGTTGACTAATCTCTTTTTTCTACCAAATAAACACCCTTTTTCATTGACGCTGATTTGGCAAGCCTGTTTAACAGCTTTCTCCCGTTGCCTTGTCTGGGGTGCGCTTTCGGGCGACGGATTGTTTCACACAAGTGAAGGTTTAGGTCTCATCAGTTTCCAGCTTACGGCCGTTGTTGACGCCGATTTACATACAGCATGATTTGCGATGACGGATTTTTATACTACTTATGACAGCTAAATAGCAGCATATGACGATGTCCACCATGTGCCCCACAACATGGTTGGAGCAGGATGCTGACTTGCGCCGAGAACTTCGGACGGAGCCCTAGGAGGTTTCATATGGAAAAAAACAAAGTATATACATGCCGGAAGCCACAGTGCAGTGTGGAGTCGAGGCCATCACAGTTGCGTCATATGACCGTCGTTGTGACCGACGATGCCCACACCGTGTGCCGCACAGCATGGTGGGCGGAGGGATGGTGACGTGGGCGTGAGAGGCTTACACAGCATCTGTCGAACTCTCTCCTCCATCACCTACCCAGGCCTCATTGAAAGACAGTCCGGACGACCGGGAACGCGCATGGGCTAAGTAGTTCACCTACGCGTGCCACACGCGACCTGGTGCGTACACACTTGGTCAAAGGATATGCTCGTATATTATTTATGATTGGCGCAACGTCATCGGAATCGTGTTGCATTAGGGCACAGCATTGATTGTATCCGCTGTACCAAGCCGAGCAAGGAAGACAATGAACGATGCCGTCGTTGTTTAGACTGGAAAGGCAGGTCAACGTTCTGCAGGAGTTTGTATGTCTATCTGTGTAACTGCGTTTCGGGAAGGGATGTTCAAAGAGAGAAGTTTAACGTCGAGTACACTTAAGAAGCGCGAAGAGTGTTAGTCTTTCGGTGAAACAAACAGATGACTGGGCTTTATGACAAAAGTGTAAAATATTTCCGAGCAAAGCGGAGGGGTGTTTAGCGATGAAAATGGACCTTCCCTTGTGTTATGGGGCCGAAATGTGAAGCAATCACAGACAGTCGCATGACGATAAGTGATAATGTGAGAGACATGGGGACTGGGGTGGCCGTTTCTGGCATATCAGCCCTACTCAGACAGAAATTTGCATGTCGGGTTTATGATCTCAGTAACTTAAAAAAATACTGCTGATACAAGGTCACTCTAGAAGAGGGAACACACACCGAGACCGCGTGTGGAACTCTGGGGGACCCTAGGGGTCCCAATGACAAAACCGGCCACTCGCAGTCGGGGTGTAAGGAGGCGGCAAACAGTCCGCGAATCGCGTCTCGGGGCTTTTCAGTCTCAGTAAGCATTTATGTACTACTGACCGCTCGCATGCAGACTGCAGATGTTACGCGAGTGTTTCATCAGAGATTAGGGTTTTCGGAAGGAACCGAAGAAGGCTTGACATTGGATAAACCGAAATGCCGGCATAACTGAGGTCGCATGAGAGAATTCGGACAATGCAGTGCGGAGTCGAAGCCGTCGGAGTTGCGTCACGTGAAAGTTTGATCGTTGCGACCGACAGCATGATGGACGCAGGGACGGTAACTTGCGCGGCGTCTATCACACCCTCTCCCCCTCAGTCACTCGAGCATCGTGGAGCGACAGTCAGGGCAGACGGAGTCGAGCTGTGGTGCAGCGGCTGACGAAACCACATTGACACGTCTACGCGTCCCACACACGACTTGATAATTACACACCTGGTCGGGGAATGTGCTAGCATATTATTTGTGATTAAAGCAACGCTATCGGAATCGCACCGCATTAAGATGTGGAATTAATTGTATGCATTGTACTAGGCTAAGCGATGTAAAAAATGAACGATGTTGTCATTGTTGTTTAAACTGGCAAGTTAGGTAAACTTTCTGTGGGAGACTAGGTACACCTGGGTGTGTAACTGTGTTTTGGGGACAGGGCGTTCAAAAATAAAAGTTTAAAATCAAACACATTTAGGCAGCATGAGGAGTGTTAGCCTTCTGTCGAAAGAAACAAATTATTGAGCTGTCGTGGGTACTGGTTCTGCGTATTTCCAATGACGCTTTTTCGTGTATGTCATAGATGGGGACGGAGAGACGGTGACTCGCGCGCGACTTAGTTTATAGTGGTAGTAGGCTTGCGATGCATCTACCTCACCCTCCCCTCCCTCCCTCATTCACCTGAGTCCGGTGTCAGTACAGGATCAAGAGGACCGCAGGCGAGATCGGAATGTGGTGAGCCACCGCGCTAAAGAGTCCGTCTGCATGTGCCACACATGTCTGACCCGCACACAAATGACCGGGGTTTCACTAAAACAAAAATGGGGCGGCTCAGATCCCAATGGATTGGGAATACCATAGAGACAACATAAGAAAGGAGCCATTGTAGACTACCTCTCCCTCCTGAGAGGAGGAGCGCATTATCCCGTCATTTGTTGTAACAACCTGTCATTTGGAATTGCAGAATTATGCTGGTCTCTCGGACTTGGTTTCGACCACTGGTCAGTGTCTAGCTAACGCTCCTCGGATAATTCGTCTCATTCTACCGTTTTTGGACTGTATTCATTTTAACTGAATAGCCTCCTCGGCGAAGGGGACTGTGTGAGCACGGTTGCTTTTGTTATGTGGATGTGAAAAAAACAAGTTCTGCTGCTCTGCCCAGCTCGTTAAGGCAAAAGACATTCCTCTGCACTAGTTTGTCTCACTAGTTGCTGGAAGCTGCTGACTGTCTTGAGACGCCATACACTTGCGTTTCAAGAAATGCGCTACTCTTGTCCGCTCGTCCACTTCATTGGCTGATTCCTGCTCAAAGTGCGCCTGTGTTGGGTGAGTTGCATTTCGACCGAGCCAATCAACATACAGCGTCTCACCGCGTTATCCAATAGACTGTTTGTCATTGAGTCCTGCTCGCCCTGCGCTCAAAAAGAGCACAGAAAATCTGTGCGGTATTGGCTGGCGAGAGCGCTGGTGCGACAAAATGATCCGTTATGACATTATTTCAGCCTTCCCCTTGACCAGAACGTGGACCTAATAGGCAGCCAAAGAATTCCTATGGACCGCAAAAAGTGAGAACTTTAATTCTGCTCATACGTGTACACCGCCAACTCCCACTCAAGCGGACCGAAATATTTCTAGGTGAAATTTTCCGCCAACGTGTATGTCCTAAGTGCAGATTCTACGCATTTCTAATGACGCCGTTTCGGTGGCAGCTTCGTACATGTCATAGATGCTCTTTCGGTAAGTCGGATCAAGATGACTGGCTGCTGTAGCATTTTATTCTTCAGAATCAAGGCAAAAGAATGACGTAGCATGTGACATGTTCTGTCCACGTTGGTATTCTTGACTCCGTCTTGACACCAGGCCAAGGTAAGTGAAGGAAAATACAAGACGATAGATGCAGCGAAAGTCTGCTATCACTTACAACTAACTTACACCCACCCTGCTTTGTGGCACAGAGTGAATATGGTCGGGACAGACGATCGAAACTGTCCCTGTCGATCTTTACCGAAACAAAACTGTGTTAACGCAGTCCTGACGCGGAATTACCGAATTTAATTGAGTGTCCTTGGGCCTCGTGCCATTCAACAAAACGGGCTGTGATGCTATAAAACACTCCGATGAAATGGTTTGGGGGTGCATCTAAATACGGCCATCCAGACCGGGCAATGACGCCGTGGTGGATGGCTCTGAGGGTCGGCCGCTGTTTGAGAAGCCTTCAGGGTAAACATTCCGAGGGTAAAAATAAAACACGGTTAGGCGGAGAGCCTCAGAAAAGGACAAGAGAGCATGAAGCCGCCTACGGGCCCGTCTGTTGATATTAACGACAGTTTACTACTACTCCTACTACTACTACTACTACTACTACTACTACTACTACTACTACTACTACTACTACTACTACTACTACTACTACTACTACTACTACTACTACTACTACTACTACTACTACTACTACTACTACTACTACTACTACTACTATGACCTTACCGCTGCAACTACTAATAGTAGGACTGGCATTACCACTGTTACCATCACTGCTACTATCGCTAGAACTATTACTGTTACTACATTTATTGAAATTACTACTGCTAGTGAAACTACCATAAATACCAGCCTCAAAACCACGGGATTAGGAACTGCTTGGAATTTAACGCAAGGCCTCCCGTAGTACTATAGAGCCTACATGTCCGTGTCCGACCTTCATAAATAGTACCAGTAGCATTAGCATTAGCCTCATTAACTACGACGGCGAGACAGAAATGTCGGTGGTAAGGCCGGAAAAGAAGAAATCCTTTTCAATAGTCCTTTATTAAGAGTCCTTTTACCGAGATTAATGTCTGCCTTAGAGAAAGAGATATAACCGGCAAGATCGGAGAGACTGACCACCAGAGGAGTGAAAATTGCCTCTTGTAAACCAGTGGTTGAATAAACCAAATCAGGATTGATAAGAAGTCTGAGAGCCTGAAAAGGGGTCGGGAAGGGGGCGGCTGGTTGTGAAGAAGAAAATTCTTCCGTTAACAATGCCTGCATCTTCTATTCTTCCTCATTCCGGTTTTCGAACAGACTTCACTTGTGCAACTTTTGTGGCCTTCGTTGTCCGGGGATCGGGGAATCGTGAGTCCATAACCAGACGTCGGAACCGTTGGGCAGAATTGAAGGAAGACCCATTTCCGCTAGCCGGTGGCTGTCTCTCGGCAGCGACGAGAATCCTCCTAGAGTTCTGTGATTCTTCGTGCATATCACCCGCACCAGAATTTTTATGATTCAAGAGCACATCTGCCTTCTTTGGCCCAAGGCGAGATTCCACCTTCCTCCCTACATGTGATCTAAGAGTAGAGAAGGAATGTTAGAAAGAGACGACTGGCTTTGAACAGAAACTTCACAAGTCCCGGAACTGAAAATATTGTAAGGTAAAAAGTCCACGCAATTAATGTAAAACTACTGGTTTTGGCTCGCTCGCTCGCCTACAAGTTATCGATTAGATCGGAAAGTGCACGCACATTACGAAACTCAGCCATTACGCTACAAGAGTATTTTACTTTGCGCTGATTGGCTCTCCGCTGGTCGGGCTTAAATGTGCTGCGTGAAACAATACGCGCTGCTTGTTGACACACCGCTCATCAACTGTGAATTTGGCCACGTACACAGGAAAAAAGTACGTCTAAAATTCTGAAAAAAACATGGAGAATCAACGCTATTTCTCCAGCGTCTCGAAAGCCATCTAAATCATGAGACAGCTAACATTCGGCCGCTTGTTTACATCCGGCATTGGTCTGGATGTAATCCGAAGTGACAGGAATTTTCCAGACATCTAGAGAAGACAGAAAATTTCTCAGAGGATACGAAGATGGGCAAAGCCGATGCTCTTAATCGTAGTTAACATGGTAACACCTTTTCACTACGGAGATGGTTTCCAAACACTTTGTGGAAGTAAACAGGGATATGAGTGTTATCCTCTCCGATGGTTTAATTTTTCAGTTCATTCAGCAACACTAGTCGGTCACAACAGTGTCCGCCCTTCACTGTCGGGGCGTACATCGGAGCATTTTCAAAGACTGTGAGGGCCGACATTGACCTAACACTTCCGCATGATTATAAGTTGTTTTATAGTTCCTTCGATCTATTCCACTCCGAGTTATCCCGTCAGGTGGCAGTGTTCCAAGGCCCGCCCGTTAGCTCACTGTGGCAGTTTAAAAGCATGAGAACTCCCCAAATCTCATCTAATACATCAATCATAACCATAACATGCTACTATATCGATTTCAATAACCCATTTTGTTTGCTTTAACTTTGGCGCTTCTGAACACTGCGTCCAAATACAGTGTTGTTTGCTGTTATATAGCGAAATCATCCGCTTTTTAATAGCCTGTCCTATTATCAGTTTTGTTCATTTAGCATACTGAAATTATTTGTAAATGTTTGCAGCTAAACTGCTCTTCTTGCAGACTTGCATTTGAGTTTTCGAGGGCTTCTGTAAGTTACTCAAAATACACTGATGTGATTAAAGTAGTTTTAACAACACTTAAATTGGTCGGTCAGGTCGTTGATGTCACGACGTCTCCTATAAAACATCGAATAAACTAGTATTGGAACATAACTGCGCATACTGTAAGGAAAGGGCCAAAAAGTCGGTGATACCGTGTTTGGGATTGTATCGGCTTGCTATTTAGATATCGTGCGTGGGGACACTGGTTGAGTAAGGGTCCCAAGTGACGAGGATAACACTCTTCTGTTAACTGAAATTCAGCAATACATTTCCGATTACGAAGGTTGACTTAATTAGGGCTGTGACAATGGCTGCCTTGCCGTATAGTTCCGTGATATTTTAGACTCGCAGGATGCCAGCTTTTGCATTTGCTTCTAGTCAGCCATCTGCAGAAACTGCATCCGGTAAAATATTCCTACATAAGGGGCATGAGTTTTTCTATTGATTTTCGATATCTTTTTAAATCCAAGTATAGTTCACTGGAAAGTCCAATAAAAATATCATTACTTGCGCTTATTTTGAAGAAAATCACATCGGCATTATTTGTTTTTTAAAAGGCTTTTCCTCTGCCGAATAGTTTGGAGCTCGATCTGCCGCTGCATTTGTCCTAAGGATTCTCAGTCCGCAAGCAGTATACTTTTCGTGTAATACAAAATCTACATTTCCCTAAGTCAATAAAAATACGATATGGGACCCATAAAATGTCGCAACGAATGTGGATTATGTTGTATACCTAATGAGGAGCATTATGAAATAGACAGAGACGATGCTCTTTGGATGAGAATTTCACGGTCTTAAAAATCACATGACTATAAACTTTAAAAAACCGAAAGATGCCCTTTATTCGAGCACAAAATTTGAGGAAGACACGATTTGCCACCAAATGAGCCCAATAAAAAATATTTATGTGCATTTTTACAACATAATATATTTGAGTCTGTAAAACCCTCGAAACACGGCGAGAAAAGTGCATGCCGATTAAGTAGTCATTTTTTTTTATAAAATGCGGTATTTGAAAACGACCGAAAAGCGGTTCACTCAAATTCCCGCATTCTGGCATAACTGACATATCATAGGATTATGCTGCACGACAGTTAGTATTACAGTCCCAGCTGGGAAATTGTTCCTTATCAAAACGCAATTCGGAATTCCAGTCAACATCTCATGAGATCGGTAAATGACTGTATAAACATCCCTCCTCTCCTAGAATCAACTCTCTGGAGCACACTGTATCCTGTCAACGCGGCAACCCCCACCCAAACGTCATTCCAATATTTCGTTCATAAGGCATTCGAGAAAGATACCACGTGAACACTGAATTATCTAAAAAATAAGCCTAGTCTGTATAACCGTATGTCATTGTGACCGAATTTCTGCGCCTTGTCAATAGAAGTAATTTTGAGTGATTTTGGCCTATAAGGTAGTGACGACTTCTTTTTTCTTTCTTTTATGGTTTACGCTACCACCAAGCAAATAAGTAGGCATCATTTTTTCGAAGTAAATCCCCAAAGAAAATGGATATGGTAAACATATTTCTGAGACCCATAACCAAATACAGACGTATACTCGACGAAGGTAAGCAGAAATCATAAAAACATGGATTTGAGGGAAAAAAGGTGATTAAAGAGTACTTAGGCGGAGTTTTAATATTGACTGTCAGGCAAAAGACTGGCGAGGCACTTTAGTCAAGCCAGGATGCTGGCTTTTGAATGAGTTTCCTTCCGGCTGCCTGCAAAAAACTACACTCGGCAAAAAATGGCTATCTCTGCGGCATGGACTTTTTCGCATTGATATTCCATGTTCTTATGCATTAAAATATATTATATATAAAACATGCACACAACACCTTTTCTTATACTTATTTGGTGAACAATTATGTCCCTTTCGAATTTTATGCTTGAACAAAGAGTATCTTGAGTTTTAGGAAGTTTGCAATTCAGATATTTGTGAAGGCCGTGGACTGTGCATTCATACAGCATTGTGTCTACCCGAATATCCAGTTCACGATGGAAGTTGAAACAAACAACCAACTTCCCTTCCTCGATGTCCTCGTGCATCGGTGTGCAACTGGACAATTATAAACTACCGTTTTCAGAAAAGCCACCAATATAAGACAAATAATACACTTCAACAGCAATCACCCCTCTCTCATAAACGCAACTGTGTCCGTATTCTATTCCAAAGAGTTGAAACGCACTGCAGCACACCAGCCGACAAAAGAGTTGAACTACAATACCTTCATAACCTCTTTTGGGCCAAGCTATTTTATCAAGCAAAGCGAGTGCCGAGTGAACAGACGACGGCCACAAGAAGAGCAACTCGAAGTCTGGAGGGCTATTTCTTACATTAAAGGAGTTTCCGAGGCGATTTGGCGGCTGTTACAACCTACCAGGGTAGGCACTGCCCATCGACCCCAGGCAACCATTCGTCGCCGTTTGATGCAACCAAAAGACATACTGCCACCAACTGAAACCTCAGCAGTTGTCTATCAAATACGTTGTAACGATGGAGACTGCAACTACGTTGGGAAACCGGACGGAAATTGCAGACCCGCCTACATTAGCACAAACTGGCAACTCGGAGACTAGATCCAAACTCACAGCTGCGACTGACATCGGAGAAACTGGCCACAGTTTTGACTTTCAAGGAACAGCCGTCCTAGGCAGGGGCACCTCAAGGACAGAGAGTCTTACACTTGAGGCTTGTTACTCTGATGCCAACTCCATCAACAGGCATCTAGACCTTCCTGCGGCCTATAAAGTCCTACGTCACTACATACGCCAAGACGAGGATAAGACAGTCATACGAAACTTAAGAATGTTGAGCAAACACAGCCTGTCAACGAATTCACCCAAAAGAGGAGGCCACCAACTCTCACAAACGACAGCCAGTAGGCCAAGGCAGTGAAAGAAGGAAAAAATCGCTCAGCCCAAGGCCAACTAGTTCGGCTGCTTATTCAGAATTCTGATAGATTTTTGCACTAGACGTTTTGACAATGGAGAGCCGCCCAAACTCTTCGAAACGTCTGCCAAACAATCTCCTTGATCCGGTGAGCACTCCTTTTTCCTCAGATATCTGCTTATAAATGTTTCTTAGAAGGTACATAACATAATTTGCATCCATTGCACAATTTTATGAACCCTACAAGACATCTTGATGGCACCGAGGAATTTATGATCTCCCATATAAAGAAATTTCACGGCCTGTAGCGGCAGGTCAAGTTCAAAGGTGTTTGTGAACTGAAAAACTTTTTTGAAACCGGAAGGCACACTGTTCTTGAATGAAACACGTGAATAACATGTGCTGTTTTCCTTAGCGGGAAAGGATCGGATGAAGGATCCCAAGCATCTGTGGCATACAAAGAATACCTACTATAGTAATTTAAGTTGGCTTTATTCCGACACGACTATTTCGGTTTACTGTTTCATCGAACAAGGTTGGATCGTCTGTTGTAGACGATCTGGTGCATTACCTGCAATGACATCAGATCAGAGGGTTGAGAAGGGATCGTTGTAGACACTTCATGTTTATTTTTTTCAAATTGTCCTGCTTTATTTCGGCTGTTTTACGTCGATGAATTAAAACTTTTCCGCCCGAAAAACGATTTTACCAATTACCTACACTTACTTTGTCATTTCCCTATGCATACATAGGCCTCGCCCGTAAAACCCGTATTACCACCATTCCCGTAATACAGGCACCTTTGGCTGGTCATGTGTGTGTTTTGGGTCCTTCACCCGCTCGTTGCCCCTTAGTGTCCATCCAATGTCAAATGGAGACGAGGTGAATATGTATGCTTCCTAAAAAGACGCTGCTCAGAGTTGAAAACATACAGGCGGGACTGATTAATTGGCCCCCTAAACAGGACATGGAATTAAGAACGCCCAGCCCGAGTAATAAAGGTGGGCCTGCGCATAATTATAGAAATGGAAAAAAATATTCCCACATCCTGATCCCAACAATAACCCAGACGTAAAACTAAACCGTTGCCCTAATCTTGACCCTAAGCCAAGCACAAACCTTAATTCTACAAGTAACACCAGCCCCTACCTTACCTCTTAACTTAATTCTGACTTGCGTACCGTTTACTTTAAACCTAAGCTTAATCCTTAAACCAGCCCTAGCCTCATCCTTAAACTTAACCCTAATTTTGCTGAAAGTTGGCTCAAAGCCACCCCTGTTGCAGGAGATTCGTTTTCTGTTTATACGTAAGTCAGCTCTGCCTGAATTTTACTTATTCGGCCTAGTCTGCAATAGTCAGGAAACATTGCAGTTGTCCGAAATATTTTGCTCTGTACCAAGTACTGAAACGGCAACAAAGATCATCCCCTGTTTCTGTAATTGCTTTCGAGAAAGAGAACACAATCTCATGATATAGTTTGGGAGAGAAGAGAGCAAATTAAACATCTTTGGCAGCTTTGCATAGTTGGAAGTCTCAGACGTCTAGTTTTGGACAAAATATTGCTAAAGTCGAGGACCATAATTGGTATAAAGTGTTTAATTATAAAGCCCTAATTAATATCAGGGGCGAAATAAGTGAATTTCGCAGTTGCCAGACGGAGTTGAAAAGATGAGGGTGCAATCTCTACTTTCTATTCCTTTTCGGTGCACTATTACCTATTTAAACATCTGATGTTGGTATTTTAACGACAGCGCGAGATAGGTGCGCTGGCTATTATAGTAGCGGCGTTCAAGAGGCCGAAATTTACTGGTTATATGGGTAGCAAACAACGCATCATCTGAGATGACTAATAAAGATTAAATCGCGGCTAAAACACATTAGAATTTTCCTTGCCTTAAAATTGATCATTCAGACCCAACTCTCGAGCATACAAGTGCTTAGGTTGAGCTTTTATATTCGACCAGACGGTCATAAAAAGTGTCTGCAGTATTCAAAAGTCTGTAGGTTTCAAATCAACCATACGTCTTCGTGGAACGTCGAACTTTAAATCAAAGTTTGGAGATCTCTGCCATCTTCTCCATTGGACAAAGGAGTGAGTACTCCCCCGCCCTTTATTTTATATATATGCCCACTAAAACATGTACCTTATGCGGGTTTTTGTTGTTGCTGCAAACTACATTAACACAGGATTTGGCGCAAACGCGCCTTTTACGGTAAAGCATGAGTATATGAACCACCCCTTAACAGAAGCGGCCGCGTGCTAAATCCAAGGAAGGACACAAATTCCTGTGTCCTAGCCTTAACTTTATCTGTAAACATTAATCCCAAACCTGCCCCTAACACCACCTTAGTCCTAACCCCACACCTGAGCTGTAGCCCTAACCTTAATTCGAAACCTGATCTTCATGGAATTAGCGCAAGGCCACCTGTATTAAGTAGGGGAAGAGGTGGGCTTATACTCTAATGCCATCGAATTAACTTGAAACTCCACCTATACTTTCTTGGAGGATTCTCTTAACGACAATGGACTCCAGAAAGTGTATATAACGTATGCCAGGCTACCTAAATCAAATAAGTAGGCATAGTATAAGAATATAGTTCGCAGGACTCCTATCCCGCGTCTTGATGTCGGCTGCCCACACAAGTATTTCCCCCACGCTCGTCCCAACGGCCAAGCAATATGCAATTAATCTCTGTAATGAAGACTACGACAGAAGGCAGCACTTACTGTTTTAGGGAACTGAGCGGAGCAAGTCGCGGCGTAATAGAAGGACTCTTTTCAGCCAAATGATCAGGCTTCTTTGGCATGTTGACCTTGTTGAGAATGGAACCTGTCAGTCCATTTCCAACATGACAGCCAGAATCATCTGAATCCATGGAGGATTGTCTGGTCGGTGGCGGTAGCAGTGGCCGTAGGTCACCCAAGACTGGTGTAGTCGGATAACCCTCCACCGCCTCCTCCTCCTCCTCTAAGTCGAGATCGTCCAGAGTCTGTATCTCCGCCAAAAATTCTCGCGCTGAGTCCCTAGCGGTCTTGCGTGGCGTACAGCGTTCACAACAGTGACTGAATCGGGAGCTCTCAAAGCCTTCAGACGGCTCATCTTCAAGAAAAGCGTCTTTGGCAAAATCAGCCTCGCTGGAAGAATCCTGTTCGGACATATCTGTCCTTGACCAAGGTTGAGTTCTCAGTTTAGGTGGTCCATCAGAGATGGCGAGAATCTGATGGAGAATTTAAATGTTGCCAAAACACCACAAAATGCTGACAATTAGTAATATGAATAAACAGTAGTGTCTATTGTGTCGAAGTAAAGCCAAGGGCTTTTTGCAATTTAACTGAGTTACATGAGGTACTCCTTATTGCACCTGACTGGAGCCATTTGGTTAGTCTCAGAGCATTCCATCACTGCAAACGATCCGATGCGCTTGAAGCTATCGCAATGTGCTAAAAACCGTGGCCTGGAAGGTCGCCAAGTGACGGGATAACCCAGACCTCGCGGTTATTCCAATGCTTGTTTGTGTGGAATAGCCGACTGGCAAACTGGCATGCATTGACTCCTTCTTAATGTGGCCTGTATGGTATCCCCACTCCGTGGGATCTGAACCGTTCCCCCCTGCTTGTTGGTGTATGAGATATTGGCCAGTGTACGCTGTCGAACAGGAGGTGTGGCTGTCCGTCTAGGTGCGGACCTACGCCATGCCAGGCACTTGCTCCGGATGCGGGTGGGAAAGAAGGAGGGAGTGCGGTAAACGTTGCGCAAGACTAATACCAATATTAACTAGTTCATGCGCGCACGTGACTGTTCCTGCTCTCATACAGCAGTTGAGCACACGGTGGTCATCGTCGACAACGACGGTCGAACTGTCAACCTTGACAAGGATTTTCACCACTGATTTGAAGAGTTTCTCAAATCAGAAAGTTTGAAGAGGTATGGCTGTCGCAAGCTGAAAGCTGAAAAAGTCTCCAGCCGCATCGTGGCTCAATGGTAGAGTGTCAAACTCCATGACCAAAGATCCCGGGTTCGAATCTCAAGTGATCCACACTTGGGGTTGAGTATGACTGGCTGATGACGGCTAATAAGCCAAAAATGGCCATTCCGGTCTCCCTTGTCTTTGTCGGCTCCATTTCATATATATATATATATATTTCGAAGAAAAATGGGTTCTTTGGGAAAATGAACAAACTTTATTTCGTAAATTTTCGAGCGTGGTTCCCCAGCTCGTCGTCAGACGTGTAGCACGTGTGGAAAAAACAGTTAAAATTTAAACATAAAATATATATATATATATATAGGCAGAATGATATTACCGACAAAGACAAGGGAGACTGGAATGGCCATTTCTGGCTTATTAGCCGTCGTCAGCCAGCCATACCCAAGCCCGAAGTGTGGAACACCCGAGCCTCGAACTCGCGACCTGTTGGTTTAGAAGTCCACGCCTCTACCCACCGGGCCACGAGTCCGTTGCCCTGTCGGTTTTCGATCGGGAATATACAATGGTAGGGGGCGCTCACCGCTCGTTCATACGGAACTCACTCGTTCCGTTGTGCCTTAGGGGCTGTCTTTTGAGCCCAATCAGCAACCGCACAGTGGTGCATGATAAAGGCAGAATGGCATTACCGACAAAGACAAGGGAAACTGGAGTGGCCATTTCTGGCCTACTAGCCGTCGCCAGTCATTCATACCCAACCCCGAAGTGTGGCACACCCGAGGCTCTAACCAGAGACCTGTTAGTTAGAAGTCCAACTCCTCTAACTCCTAAGCCACGGGCTCGTTGCTATGTCGGTACATGGATAGAATGGGAAACCATAGATTTCTAAACTTCCTCAGCCGTATATACCAACCTTCATGATATTCGTAGTTTAGCAGGTGGAAACTACTAAAAGTAGTAACGGTCAAGGTGGCCTTAAGTGGCCAATATGACAGTTGAATCCGGAGAATTCTGTACTCCAAACTTACCGATTTTTGTAAGATTAAATGGAAGGACCGAACATAAGGGGAGGTCACGCAGTTGACAGAGGATGTGTTTGGACTAAAGCATTGCGAATTTTTTTCTTAGAGGGACTATTATCCTGGAACCGCCCTAGACAGTGCTGTGCTTTTAATGCAAAGAGACATTACACATTGGTCGTTATACCTCGAGAAAACTTCTAGGATGACAGGAAAAAGTAGATTAATGTCAGGAACTGGAGAAAACCGGGAAATTGCCGAAGCAAATTGAAATCTTAATGAGCTAACCTGCACATTTTGAAGCCGCTGTTTCATGGCCGCGAGTTCTTTTTGCATCAGTAGCCTAAAAGGCAAATAGTATTAGAAGGACTTTTTGGGGTTCTTTATTGATCTGGCGTATACCTTCAACTTGATAAAATGTTATTACGAAGGAGAAAGTGCCTTACGGCTAAAGTACCCCCCACGGCAACTTTCATATTTTTATGGCATATTAATGCATGGTATAGTGGGTTTCTCAAGGAATTCTGATGTCCTCAGTCGCCACTTAGTTAAGACAAGGATGTAGGTAGTGAAAAAATGACACCATAGGGAAATAAAAATGCGTTCATTTTACTTCACAAAGAGGATCACCAGAAACCGATTGTATACTTGATTAAGATTCCTATCCGAAGACGGTTTAAGAGTGACTTTGCCGGCGTCTAGTCTTTGAGTACAAGATTTCAAAATCGATACCGATAAGGAATGGGGATAAGTAACCGGAATTGGATTGTCTTGACGTTTGAAGAGAAAATCTATCCTTGAACTTAACAATATTTGCATGAGCTAAAACACCAAATTCCGCTCGGAAAAATAAGTTTATTCCTCAAAAATAAATTACCGGGGTGTTCACTATCATAGGTGATCATTCATTAAATTCCAAGGGCCAGGGTTAGGACCAGGAGAGATAGGGAGAAGAAAGGTCAGACACATGGCATTACGCCAAATTCCAGGGGTTTCATATTCCCGTATCCTAACTTTAAGCCTGATACTTTCCCTAGCCCTCCTAGATTACACTGCAACCCGAAAGTTAGCCATCACAAACAAACTATAACCATAGCCTTAATCCTAACCCTAACGCTGACACCGTCGCTAAGCCTAACTCCAACCCACCAGGAATTTAGGAGGGGGGAGTTCACATTTCCGTGCTCAACAGGAATGTGGCTAAAGTTAGTATACGGGTATAGGTACACACTTAGAATTAAAGGAAAGACGCCATGTAATACTGGTGGACTTCTATCCGCACCCAGTCGAAAACTGGCAGTTTTTTAGGCGTAAGCTTATGGGGGCATGAAAGGCGGCAAACTGAAAGAGGACAAAATCGCTGCTTGAGGCACTGCAGATTCATTAAGGGTTCCCAAAACCGTGGAATAATCCTGCAAAGAATGAAACTTTGATGAAATTCCAAAAGACTGCAATGACAGTCTACGCCAATAGAAGCGAAGAGACGAGTCCCAGGAAGTAGTCTTGAAAAAGGAGACACGATCGTTGGGACAAGAGCTTTATCAGCCTGACGTTTCGGATTCCTGCTCGAATCCATCGTCAGAGACACCCGTATCTGCTGTTGTCTCTGATGATGGATTCAAGCAGGAATCCGAAACGTCAGGCTAATAAAGCCCTTGTCCCAGCGATCGTGTCTCCTTCTTCAAGACAGTCTACACCATTGTTGGGAATTATAGAGCGAAAATAGAGTAGGGTATTTGGCACAGTAGGGCTAGTGGTCAAACCCATTGCTTACCCAGTCGGTTGAATGGAAGACCATCAGCCTCAACGGACTACCCACATGATGCATACGCCGACTCATATGTGGCGTAATTAATTCGCATGGAAAGCGAACAGAGGAAATATTTAGAGTCTAAAGCCTTAAAACGCGGTAGAAAAAGGGGATGTATTTCTCAGCCACTGTAAAACAGCAAGCGGTACTATAGCAACCAAAGTTGAATCTACAAAGCAAAATCTAAGACTTGGCTTCGAGGCTGATGGCAGTCCATAAAATTAGTTGCGGGATCTTCGAGTGGTCACGTGCTGTACCCTGCGTAAGAATGTCTGCCAGCTAAGGTCCACGGACAGCTAAAATTAATGATCGGCGTAAATACGAGTAATTTATGCTTAAACCGAGTTAAACGTTGGATTCATCCGCAGGTATTGGGGGGATCTATTAAGTGCAGATTTTAAACTCTTTTGAAGTAGCCAATGTGCAAAAGACTAGAAGAAATATTTACTACTGACTACCGAACAGATCTGAATCCATTCTTCCATTCCGCAGCGTTGACCTTGAAGCAGTTGACTCAAGTTTACTTTAGAGAATTGCCCAACCTTAGACAAGCTCAATAGTATTCATAGATATTTAATTTAGTCAACACAGGAATTAACCTTAGTTCTGAAGGGGAATATGGACTCGGCTTGTTCAAAGTCCTCGTTTTCAGATCATCTAAAAGTAAAAAGAATAAGTTTTACCCTAAGACACAGCAAAATTTCAACGAAGTTAAGGGCAAAGTGAATGTAAAAACCTAACTGTAGAATCGATTGGGGAAATATTCTCAACAGGCATGCCAATAAATGCAAAGTCTAGAGTTTGCTTTAAGCGCGATGGAATTTTTGCCAAATCCAAGCTCAAACTTCGCAGTAGAACCTAACTACCGCCTAACCTACCATACACGCACCACGAAAATTTACTCCAAGCACACGCGCTAATTTCTGAAAAAGCTATAAAGCTTGAGAGACGAAGTGAGAGATGAGCCAGAAAACACATTGAAAACGTTGGAGGATCAATTGATGAGTTGACTTTCATGCAGTCGCGTCATAAAGTGGCGTGCCGGGACTTTGGCTGTTATCTATGCTGCGAGTTTGGTACAATCAACCAGCAAATATATGTTTTGAAATTACGTTCACCCATTATTCCTTTATGCCTTGCGGCTCAATCTACTGCCCACAAAGGTAGCCGCATAACGACCGGGAATATATTTTAAACGGAGTACGGAAAAAGGGAATGTGGACTGGAATTACCAATGGACAATGTGCCCTTAGCTCAATGGAAATCTATTCTAGACTCTTTTCCATCGCAAACTGTAGATCGGGAATGACTGAGTTCTGTCGTTCTTGATAGGGGTTATTGTCGTTCCCGTCAATGACAACAATAACACAAAATCTTCAGACATGAATGAATGAGCGACATCATTATTCGAAACGTCAGACTGCAGATAAACCCCTCCTAGGGGCACATCTTACTTGGCATGCCGCCTGTGAATGACGTTTTAACTGCCTTCTCACATTGTTACTGGTTGCTTAATGCTCATTGTTGACCAAGCAAATCCTTTCAAATCCAAATAGCCTACGTAGGAGACCATTTTTGTCACCTCGAGGCCTAAAAACGGGAGCGCGGTTTTGGTTCTAAACACGACCGATTACCTTAGATGGAAGTAGTATTAAATGACCCCAGCAAATTCTCTTGAAGAACTCGTGGAAATAAAAAATAAAAATACTAGAAAGCCTCATTAGAAAATAGATAAAAGCACTGCCCGGGAAAATGGCTATATATCTAAGGCTCACAGGCTTACATACGTCCAGGACATACGGCTCACCATAACTGCGTAAACCGGGAGTACTGCTATGATGAGTAAAAATAAACAAAAAGCAAGCTTGTGTCAGAAAGCTGAACTATCAAAATTTAGAAAAACCAACGATTTACTCTGAATTTACGAAGCAACAAGGATCTCAAGAAACAAATGGTGTCCTAAATGTCCTGCCATGATATTGGACCCGAGTCGTTCATACCTGCAATCCCGAGAACAAATATACTCCTATGCAGTAGGTAGAAACAGATATGTCCTATGTTTTACTTTGAAAATTTGGTGTAATTTAAACTAGAACGGGAATTCAGTTTGTTTAAAAAAACAGCGGATGTGATTCGCAGCTCATTTTGGGCCACACGTGCGTCCACTTTTGACAGAAATAGTCGACTATACCTACTTGTGAGCATGAATTTACACCCCAGCTATTCGGTTGGCGGTTTGACTTAGGGATATTTGCCTAAAATAAACACTTTGTACTACATTAAGCGGCCTTTGCTGGACTGTGTTGTTGACGAAGTGGGATAGCAAGGCGATGGACACAAATGAACGTCAAATAAGGGTTGACAGTCTACCGGCAAGAAGAAGGCGTCCATCAGAAAACGCATTGCACCAAACAAAGCGATATTTTGCTGTAGAAAATAGCTGCCATTACATTAGTGTGGATGTACATGAATTTCATAGGGAAAATATCGATAACATTACGAGATAACACACACAAGCAGCTCACATTATATCTAGATCACATTCATGCTGGACGGTTTTCCCCGTCGACAGTATTAAACAACGGAAAAGGACCTGTACAATTGGGGTCTGCATCTCAAAATACTAAAAGCCGCAATGTTTTATGCATTTAATGCAAGATATAACTGTATTTGATGGCTTCGAAGGGCAACAAATACAGTATTTACCTTTCGCGTAAAGAAAAACGTATGGAAAACTATCCCAAGATAGATAACAAAATAAAAACAGATAAGAAGCGAAAGGGACGGAGTATATTCGCGCAATCAGAAAGTACTAGATCATGAAGAACACCCTGTACAAAAGACCATCCTACTTTGGACAGTATCCACGGTAAAACGCTAGATCAGCACAAAGGGTTACTCCCGGGTTCTGGTATATAGAAGCCCCTTCTTTGGAATATTTTTTCGCACACAGACATCAAAAAGCAATCATTACAAGGCACCAAAAATAAACACTCTAAAACAAAAAAAAGTTGTATCAGAAAGAATAAGATCGATGAAAATGTCAATTTATACTAGTTATTATACAAATGTGCTTCGAGTATCAATTTATTGATATTGGTAAGAAACAATGCATTGTGACGGACATCAAAGTAGTCAAACTAATACCTGCACTAGCCTTTTCGATGTTCGCCTCCTCATTTGGAAATCTGATATCATTTTTGGGAAGACTTGAACTAAATCGATTGCCTTACGGCTCTGTTTCGCCTGGCTTAAACGTTAGATACTTCACCAATCCATCAATCTCGTTCAGGACATGCGGAGTGAATGCAATAAAGCCATTCGGATGGATTGAACTTTGCCCCAGATGTTTAAATCCCATAGAAGTGAGAAGGGAGAAAGACTCGAGCTGAGAGATACACACATTTATCGAGTTAATATACTTCAGAAATTAATTCCTCGGACTGCTCCACAAAATCCATGCCCAGAAACAATTTTGCCTCATAATGAAGCTCTTCGGGAAGTTTTGATCTAATTAGACCCCATATTGTTTGGGGGGACGACCTAACCGTACTATCAAACATAGTTGTGATCGTCCGATTTTTCGGAATGTTGCAATTTTGCGTTTCTGCTGTCGTTCGTCATGACGCAGGTGATTTTGAAGTGGTAAAACAAACACTCAAACGCCAATTCGGGAACTTAAGGTAAACTTGGAGACTCCTCAATAAAGTATTCCATAACTTCCTCATGGAAAGATAAATTCAACACTTCTTGGACATTTTGTCTCTACGATTTTCATTACAGCACCAAATTATGCGTTTTAAATGCTTCTGGACGTTGTGAATAGAATGTCCTGGATTCTTTGCAGATCCCGAAAGCAAAATTTTTGGGTTCTCGAGATCTGGACAAACTTACTGATGGCAGAGCAGTGGTATATATTTCCTAATTGACCTAAGAGCATAATAAACCAAGGGAAACAGAAAATATTAATTTAAGCTAGATATCAGTTGCATTTTGAGACATCTGTTAGCTAAACTTAAGTGCTCACTGTCTAAAATGCTTTGAGGCTGACGTCCGTTAAGAGGTTTCTTTTCTTTAGCAAGGTCCTCCTTTCACAATGTTCTCATAATTATACGAAATCTTTACTGTCCTGGCGTCGCCGATGTAGGCGGCGTGCATTGTGTGAGTGGTCAATGAGCAATAAAGAACGCTTCGTATAAATGTTCCGGTGCTGTAGTAGTAGAAAAGTTTAAAACAGCCTTAGATGAAACACGTTTGCACGAGACGCATGAGGTATCAAGTAAACGTGTTCCTCGAGGGATGATAAAGTGCTAGATGCAGAATTGGTCGCCAAAGTTGACCTTTTAAAAGTTCTCAACTGAAGGAGTTACAGTAGAGGTGCTGTATGTTTACGTACATCTTCGATTTTTTACCCTAAACTTACTTGTACACCTGAACCTTTCTGTACTGTTGTTTAAATTAGCTAAAATACGCACACCTGGTCTCGGCTCGGGAAAAAGCGCGTCTTTTGTCCATCTGCTGTTTAGTCTCATTGTTTCGTTGATTGCACTCATGCACCTCGATCGCTTTTAGTCAATCGACAAGAAACATTTATATCTTCCGGTTAAATCTAACTGGACGTAAATTCACCCGAGCAACAAGCTTCAGCAACTGACTTCGTCTTTGGGATTTTACTCAGGACATTCCCTCAACGGCCAAAGATTCTGAAGAGGGCTATATTTTTCGTGAGTCTGTAAAATTATTTACCTTTTGTGGTTTTTCTTATACTCTTTTGCTATTGTTATGTTTCTAGTAAGAAACGCAGAATGCCCCACGTAGAGTTAAGTATATATTATTCTTTGTAGTTTTAACTGTCGCTTACACTACAGTGCTAACTCATCTAGTGCTAACCGAAATTCTGAAATGCGTTTTTGACCACAAAAGATTGCTTAAGCGAGATGCTGGCTATTGAATGAACTTCTTTCCGGCCGCCTGCAAAAAGTACACTCTACATAACATGACTACTTATGTAGCTTGAATTTTTTCCATTGATGTTGAGAGCCCTTATATATTCAAATATATCGCATAGAAAACATGTCTAAAAATATTCACTCTTTTATTCGTTTGGTAGAAAATAACGTCCTTTTTAAACTTTACTAAAAGGACGTGTGCAATTTACTTTTAAAAAAGTCTCTAAGTATGAGATTTTTAGGGCCTTGAAATACCTGTTCATAAAATATCGTGTCTCTGCACTTCCTAATATTGGTTGCAAAGTTAACAATTTGGCCCAAATTTACTGCTAAATTTCATGAACCCCATATGGCCTTCTGCTACACACAGTTCAACCGTCGCGTTTTACGATGTCCACCGTGCGCTCCACTGCAAGGTGAGAGCAAGTACGGTGACCTGCGCGAGATTTAATTTATAGTGAATGTAGACTTGCACAGTGTCTACCGCAATCCCTGCTCCTCCCTCACCTGGACCCAGTGTCAAGACAGAGTTAAAAAGACCGGGGACGAGGGAAGCCGCAGGTGGATGGCACGATCGAGCCCACACCTTGGCGCTCAAATTCACACCCCCTGGTCCACACAACAAATAACCAGGTTTTTGACCAACAACAAAGAATGGAGGCTGGCACGGCCCAAGCCGCATCTAGACGTTCCGCCAACGCACGGCTTGGGTCACATGGAATGGGAGTGCCATAAAGTCCATATTAAAAAGGAGGCACCACAGCCTGACTCTCAGAACTCCAGCCGGCCACTCCACACCAACACACAAAACTGGCCCGACTGCGAGTTCCAAGTTATCCCGTCAGTAGACAACCTTCCAAGGCACGGCTTTTAGCGCATCGTGATGGCTTCGAGCGCGTCAGATTGTTTATAGTGAGGAAAATGCGCCGAGTCGTCGACCTCACCCTCCCTTCCCATCCCCATGCCTCAGCCACTGTCCGAGCCGGTCAATTGACTGCAGTGGAGAATGGGCGCGGTGGCTCACATGGTCTAGTGACCTTGCCTGCGCGCGCCACATGCACGACCTGACCCCCCAAACACAAACACCAGGATTTTGCACAACGGGCGTTGAGAGGCGTATCTCTCACATGCATGGGAGTGCCATTGACGGAGCTGCTTCAGCCCGGTTCTCAACCCGCCAGTCCGCCACTCCACACAAACACACACATAAGTGGACGAACCGGGTGGACTGGGTTGGGGCGTCAGTCGGCAGCCTTCCAATCCGCAGCGATTGACTCGCCGAGTCATCCATGCGAAAGGAGCCGCATGGAGACCGAATCGAGACGCACACTTCCCACTTGCGTGGGAAGATCCAATTCCATGCGCGCGGTGGGTGATGTTGATGTGCGGTGAGATGGTGCTGAGGGAGAATGTAGTGGTGCAGCCGGCGGTTGTCTACCGCAGGCTTTCGTGAATTCGAACGTGGCCGAATAGGCTCATGCGATGCATGAATGTGCGAGGGCAGTATGGACAGTGGGGGTGGATGTGCGGGTGTAGGTGGGTGCTTCAGGCAATGTTTCGCCAGTCTCTGTGCGATGGATTCGCAAGTGACCGACCAGACCGATGTGTGAGGTGAATGTGCGGGGATAGTGTGGACACGAGAAGTCGGTGGTGTCGGTGCCAGTTACGAAGATTATGGCAGTGGTGGGCGCACTGAGCGACATGGTGTGGGTGGGGCTGAGCGTGGTGGGTGTGAATTTGGCACTGGGTGTGATGACCTGTGGACGGCGGGCGCGCAGGACGACAGAGTGAGGGAGGGGCTAGGCACGTTGGATGTGCTGGGTGTGCCGGGACTAATAAATAAAGAAAATAAATAATTTTTATTAAAGGCCCTTCGGGGCCCCACCATAACACGCAAAAATAAATTTTCATGTAAATTTTAGAAGAAGTAGACAGAATCTGTGCAATATGCAGTACATAGTTATTGGATAAGCAGTCCGTTAAGAAGAATGATAAGGGAGCAGTGAAAAACTACATCATAGATTAAACAAAATAATTCGATTAACTTTAAAGGAGAAATAAACTGTCATCAGTCACTCAGTCAATGTATTTGAGGGGAATAGACTTAGGCCTTTAAACTCCGTATTTGTACATGAAAATCGAGAAAATACTCAAGAGTGTGAAGAAATTGCCGCATTAAGTGAATGCAGACATCGATTCACATAGGCCACTGATTTTATGGTTACATAGTCACATAGTCCGCTTGCTGATGCAGTATATGCCTGTCAATCCGACATTTATATGCCTCCACAGATTCAGACATAACAATTGCCTCGGGCAGGTTAGTGGACGGTTCCACGACACGGTTGGAGAAAAATTACCTTCTCACATTCAATCATCCTTGGGCACAAGTAGTTTGAAGGGATGTCCCCGAAGGTTAGTTGTAGTGGCGAGTTTAAAAAAGTAGTCACACCGAAGGTTGTTCATGAAAGGATGAAAATGCGGGCAGGACCGGCCTGAATGTGGCAGTGTATAACGGATTATAAATGAACATTATCGGGGTTGAAAAAGTGTCATCCATTAGGGGTAAGTATGTGGGTCAGAGAGGGCTGGCTTGCGTGCGGTATTGTATACGGGATTCAAATTGAGCATTGTCAGAGCAGAATTCACACACCGGATGAGACTGTTTGCGCCAAAGTGGCAAGACGAGAGGAAACCAGACGAGATCGGTTACAGCCTGCTTAGAGCCCAGCCGAGGAGTGGGCAAGGGAGGTGCGACCAAACTACTAGTAGACGGTGAAAACAGAGGGTTCTGCCGTGAGCGTCGACGGACCGCTTGAGCTCGAGATGAGGAGATGACATCAAGAACCACGAAAATCGTCGCTTTGGGGGAGGAGTGATAGCAGTGGACTTAGTTGTCAATTCGAAACAGGAGGTTCTGAAGATATAAACGAGGGTTTGCACTTGATATACCACTAACTCCCAGGAGGACCCTTCCCGAAGTCAAAGAACTGAGTGTTTGGGAGTGAGACGGTCAAAAGGGCCTTTATACTTTCTGGTGTACGGTTCAGTTCAGTTCAGTTTATTGAGAGAAACAGGCGTAAGCCTTTGAGTACCCTATTTGCAACGCAAAAAAGGTGTGGAGTACAGATAGATGTTCTGGGCTGAAATAGTTCGAACACGCCCATAATGGTGGGACAAAATGTGAAGGAGTTACAGGGGGTGATCTCGACTTCTCATCGCTCTTGGCCATTTCGGAACATAAATATGTCCAGATTCTTCTTAAAACCTTGTATAAATGGTGACATCACAACATCTGCTGGAAGCTTATTCCATGGTTTGACCGCCCGAACCGAGAAGGAGAACTTCCGCACATCCAGCCGTGCCTGCTGAGTGCGCAGTTTTACGGCGTTTGTGTAATTTCGCCTTGAATACCAGTAACTTAGGTAATGACCTAATTTCTGGTGGAAGATTATTCCAAAGGAAGGCACATTTGGAAGCAAAGAAGAGGGAGCGCTTAGATGTAGTGCAAAGAGGCGGCGGAATCCCCATGGAGGAGTTGCGCGTGGCATAAGACCGATCTCTCGGAGTGAGAGTGTCAATGAGCGGAAGATTGGAGTTAGAGTTAATACGAAAAAGGAAGCAAAGGCCAGCTTCAAGTCTTCTAACCCACAAAAACTTGATGTTCGCCAGCTGACATCTCTGAGTATAAGTACCGGGTGCAACTTGAGAGAATAGTTTCCGCGTGAAAACCTCCTGAACATCTTAGATCTCATAACGGTCACAGGCGTTCATTAAACCAAAGGAAGGACAGCAGTGTTCGATGAATGGAAGAACAAACGTTTGATAAAGTCTTAGTTTCATTTCCGGAAGGAGTAAATTACGCGATATGAATCCACATATCTGCGCGGCTTTGGCAGAGATTCTATCTGCATGAGGTGATAAAGCAAGCTTATTTGTATAACTTAGGCCTAGGTCCTTTATGTGAGGCATTTTTGAGAGTGGTTTGTCCTCAAAAATTATGGGGCCAGGAGGTTTAGCAGCACCAAAAGACATGAAACTACACTTGGATGATGAAAACTTCTTCTGCTACGTTGAACTCCATCTGTTTAAGCGTAGTAAATCGACATTAATTTTTTCAACACAAGCATTTGCGGTGTCCTTAGAATCTGAGCAAACACACTTAAGTTCATCGGCATTAATAAAAGTCGGCGAATTTCCGAGTACAGTCGAAATATAATTGATGTAGCGGACCCAGAACCGTGCCTTGAAGTACGCCACTCTTGATCGAGTGAGGTGTCGAGTAGCTATTACCGACCATGGCTTTCTGATATCGATTGGATAGATAGGACCCGATAAAGTCGAGTAGAGGCGGCCGGATGCTGAGAACTCCCAATTTTACCAAAAGACGTCTATGGAGCACCTTGTCGAAGGCTTTGCTAAGATCAAAGTAGATATCTGTCACTGACTGCGGCTCATTACGAAGAGAGGTGGCTAGATTAAGAAATTCCAAGTGGCAAGTTTCGCAGGATCGTTTAGGTAAAAATCCATGCTGACTAGAGCTCAGAAGCCGACTGGCTAGACAGAAGCCCAGAATTTAATTAAAAATTATCCTTTCAAGAAATTTTGCTAGAGACGGTGTTTTGTGACGCCCTGATAGTTATTTACATCGGGCCGAGATCCAGACTTGAAGGCAGAAATGGTAATGGACGTTTTCCATGTTTGAGGAAAGAATCCTTTTGAAATATAAACCGAGAATAAATGACTAAGCAATATGGGAATGTCGGGTGCCTGCATAAGAGACAAACCCACTAGTTGGGCACAGCGAGTAGGCTATCCAGGAAACGAAAATAACAGTATCCCAACAGTTACAAACTAGTAAATAAGAACAAAGTCGTCAGCAGGTAAACGTGCACGTGCGTGTTCTTTGTCTTATTCAAAGTTGTGTCAAAGCGCATTGTAACTGATTAAAACAAAACAGATTTAAATGTTACTGCAATACTCCCCCTCCTAGGAAAACGGAGTTCAAAAAAAATATTGTTAATAGAAGGAAAATGTGGGGGTGTTATGCATATTGTACAAGTTGGTAACGGTCGGGAAAACGGACATGACGACCGCTGCGCGTAAGGGGAGGAGTCTGTGGGATAAGGGAAGACGCGGGGTTATTGGGCATAAAAGGAGTCTGGGAAATAGCAAGTGGCAATGTGCCAAGTGGAGGTTGTTCGATTGGAGAAGTTGGAAGAGGCTCGGTATATGCCGCCTTCAAGCGATCGATTGAAACCACGTCGGTGCGGCCTCCACGGTCAATTGTAAAGTACTTGTCCTTGCGCGATAGTACTCGAAATAGGCCGTCATAGGGCTGTTGTATTGGCCGGCGAAAGCTATCTATGCGGACAAATACAAAAGAACATGTTAGTAAGTTTGGGTCGACGTATGACTTACTTGTTGAAGGACGTGGAGGAGTGGCTCGAAGATGAGTCATGGCTTGGCGCAATCTTTGCACATAATCGCTGGGATCCAAGTCGGCTGAGCTTTGAGAGTACCCGAAAAAATCACCTGGAATCCGTAGGGTAGTACCGTAGACAAGTTCGGCAGCGGAACACTCCAAGTCGGGCTTGAGTGCGGTACGGATACCGAGCATGACCAAAGGCAGATGCTCGCTCCAGTGGGAAGGGTTGTCATGAGCTCGGAGCGAGGCTTTGAGTTGCCGGTGGAAACGCTCGACTAAGCCGTTGGATGAAGGGTGGTATGCTGTCGAGCGTATGCGAGAACATCCGAGGAGGTTGGTAAGGCTGTTAAAAAGTCTAAACTCGAATTGTTGGCCTCGATCGGTGGTAATGGTTGAGGGGACGCCATAATGAGAGATCCAGTGTTCCAAAAAAGCATGAGCAACGGAATCTGCAGTTCTGTTAGGTATGGGAGTTGCAATGGGCCAACGAGTAAATCGGTCAATCGCAGTAAGTAAGTAGTTGCAACCACGAGATGTTGGAAAGGGACCTACCAGATCGATATGAACATGTGAAAAACGTGCGTTGGGTGCGAGAAAAGTGCCAATGGGGGCTTTGTTGTGCCGTCCGACTTTTGCCTTCTGACAGGCCAAACATGAACGGGTCCACTGGCGGATATCAGTGTTCATGCTTGGCCAAACGAACCGCTCGCTAACTAGGCGCTGGGTAGTGCGGATGCCAGGGTGAGCTAGATTGTGCAACGCGGCAAAAACATCTCGTCTCATCCCGTTTGGCACTACGGGTCGGGAGGCACCGCGCGATACCTCACATAAGATTGTACCGGGGGTGATGGAAAGAGGAATGGCTTCGAGTTTAAGACTAGTGTGTTGAAGGCTGTCACTGAAAGTCGGCTGATTTTACAGTTCTGCCATGCGCTCCAAATCGATGGAAGGGCGGGTGATGGCATTAATGCCAGGCCGAGAAAGACAGTCAGCAACTTGATTATAAAGGCCTTTAAGAAACCGAATGTCGGTGGTATACTGAGAAATAAAATCGAGATGGCGGGCCTCGCGGGGTGAATACTTGTCAGAAGAAGTAGAAAGGGCATAAGTAAGAGGCTTGTGGTCAGTATAAATACAAAAATCTCGGCCCTCAATATAATTACGAAAATGCTTAATGGCTAAATAAATTGCAAGCAGTTCTCTACCAAAATTGCTATAGCGAGTTTGTGGGGGTGTCAATTTGGCAGAGTAGAAAGCCAAGGGCTGGGTGCCAGTGGGCGTCTGTTGCTGAAGGGCAGCACCTATAGCGAAATTAGAGGCGTCGGCCACAATGGAAAGTGGGGCATCAGGTATAGGGTGAACAAGGACAGTTGTATCCGCAAGAGCCTTCCTCGCACGATTGAAAGCCTCTACAGCTGTGTCAGGAAAAGAAAACTCACGGTTGTTCCCGCGTAAAAGGTTATTAAGTGGTAGCATTAATTGAGCACAATGAGGGATGAAACGTCGATAGAAATTGACAAGGCCTACAAAACGGCGCAGTTGTTGAAAAGAAGTGGGAGTAGGGAAATCGCGAATAGCTGAAACTTTGGAATCTATGGGATGACAACCAGAAGCATCTACGCGATGTCCTAGGAAAAACAGCGACTGTGCGCCAAAAACGCATTTAGAAACATTAATGAAAACGCCAAATTGGCTCAATCGTTCAAAAATGAGACGCAAATGTTGTAGGTGCTCGTGTTCACTGGAACTTGCTACCAGAACATCGTCGACGTAGACAAAAACGAACGGTAGATCGCGGAGGGCTTCGCTGATGAAACGTTGAAAAGTTTGGGCGGAGTTGCGTAGCCCAAAAGGTATCCTGACAAACTCGAACAGACCGAACGGTGTTGTAATCGCCGTTTTGGGAGTGTCTTCTGGAGCAACGGGTATCTGATGGAAGGCTTTGACTAAGACAATGTTGGAAAATATTGTCGCTCCAGCTAGGCTAGATGAAAAGTCGTGGAGATGGGGAAGTGGATACCTGTCAGGCACAGTGGAGGTGTTTAACCGTCGGTAATCCCCGCATGGGCGCCAGTCAACGAGAGACTTTTTGCACACCATATGTAGAGGTGCAGCCCATGGACTAGTGGAAGGCCTAACTATGCCTAGCTCCATCATGTGACTGAATTCAGCCTTGGCTATGGCTAACTTATCGGCGGCTAAACGACGGGGACGGCTAAACACGGGTGGTCCAGTAGTTGAAATATAATGTACAACAGAATGCTTGATAGGTTGGTTAAATTGTGAAGGTCGAGTGATAGATGGAAATTCCGAAAGTAAACGATGATAGGGAGTAGACGAAGGGATTGTTGAAATGCGTGGATTAGGTGATGAAAGGGTACGAGTGGAACAATTACAATGTAAAGAAGTCTTAGGATCAATTAATTTATGGGACTTAATGTCAACGAGGAGACCGAAAAAGGATATAAAATCAGCGCCAAGAATGGCAGTATGGACATCAGCGATAGTAAATAGCCGACGAAATGAACGTCTTAGACCCAAATCTAGTGTTAGGGATCGTTGACCAAAAGTTTTAATAGAAGTATTGTTAGCTGCTTGGAGGAAAAATGAAGAATTTGGTGACTTACGGTCAGTCAAGGTGGGTGGGATTAGACTGATCGCCGCACCAGTATCCATGAGAAAATTACGACAGGAAGTCCTGTCATAAATGTGGAGTAAGCGACTGGGAGAGGATGTGCCGACCACGTTCGTCGTCCTTACTGGTCGGCAGGGGAGTTTTCCGACGCGGGTGTTTTATATTTGCACGGAGAGTGGCAGCGATGGGCGTTAAAACCATAATTGTGATGATACCAACAGAAACCATCAGCTGTAGGTTTGTTTGGAGTGGGAGATCTCGGGCGGCGAGAAATTGCAGGACTACGAGGGTTATAGACGCGAGTGGCCCGGAGCTGGGAAACTTCGAGAGTGAGGGCATCCAGGCGTTTGACGACATCCTCGATTGTGGGGACAGTTGTGCTTCGACTGGCGACGTTAACCGTAACAGGAGGCTGGTAGTACTCGAGTATACGGTCAGCAGTCTCCGCGAGCATCTGAACAGTCGACGAAGGAATGTTAGGCGCAAGGATGGCTTGCACAGAAGGAGGCAACCG